AAACTTGTTAAGTGATTGGTGTAAGCACTGGGCCTTGGAGATTAACTTAAGCAAGAGCGTAGTTATGCATGTATCTCATAGTCACGTGCACAATTACTCAGTGAATGGCATTACTCTTCCAGTGGTCACTGAGTACAAGGACTTGAGAGTGGTTGTGCAGCATAACTTGAAAACAGCAACAAACTGTAGAGCTGCAGCCACTAAGGATTTTCGAATATTATGGGCCATACGCAAAGCTTTTGCGAATTTTGACGCTGAAATATTTCGTATATTATATCCGACTTATATCAGACCTCATTTGGAATATGGGATCCAGGCAGCGAGCCCGTGTTTCAAATACGAAATAGACTTATTAGAAAGGGTGCAAAGAGTAGGAACTAAGCTAATAAAAGGTTTCTCAACCCTCTAATATGAAGAGAGGTTAAGTCGACTGGGTTTATTTCCACTGTCATACAGACGACTTAGGGGTGACCTAATACTAGCATACCGTATCCTAAGAAATGATTTTGGAGCAAATTTATCTAATTTATTTCTTCCTTCTAGCACCAACCAATTGCGAGGACATCACCTCAAGGTTCAACAACCACGGTCGAATCGTCTGCGTTTGAAGATCCGTTTTTCGCATCGAATTATGAACCATTGGAACTCCCTACCGGAACACGTCGTATCAGCGCCATCCGTTGATTCATTCAAGGCGAGATTGGACCTCCTGTGTGTAACAAATCGAAAGGATTAACACAGGCATATAGCCTACTATCCTAAATAAATTGTAAACTGTAAACTGTAATTTGTACACAGGTCCAGATAATTGTTCAACTGACGAAAGACATTCTTGAAATGATGGCATAGTTTAATCAGACTTTGATGAATTAATAGATAAACTATATTGAAATTCTTTTGTATTTTGTGAATCGATGGTGTGCGCCTGTGAAATCTTTTTCATTGTAAATTTTATTCAGAGGATATGAAACTTTGCCAGTAATGTAAGTGGTGTGAGAGATTCATGTGTATTTGTGGGTGTTCACAAGATCTAATGACAACTATTCAAAACAGAAAAAACAATACAAAAATAACAATGTAATGAAGTAATTTGTCAGAATATGGATGTTTTAAATACTCTAGAACTTGTTTAAGTCGAGCGTCAGCAGTCATTGTTTGAACGCTGATATAGCAGCCTTAAATTTTCTGATATTACACTCGACTGTTATCTTAATAAAACTACTCCAAGTGATTGTAATGCGACTGTAGCAGAGGAACTTAACCTTCGGTAGTAAAACGATATTGGATATTGGAACGCAATTTCCCTTGAAATTATCTGAAAGTAGACCTATGTACGACTGTCTTTACTAAACCGATTGCATCACCAAAATATGCCAGGCAAAATAAAATAGGCTCCAAATTCCTGTAGCATTGTTATATTGTCGCAACTATCAATGTGACATGTTATAACCAGATAAGTACACATACTATTTTATGAACAGGTCTCTTGACTTTGTTGACAAATTTTTCAGCGACTAAATGTTCACTGCCTCTGTGCGGACTCGCAAATAGTCTGGAAATTCCCACTTAAGATGAGGGAGTTTGTGGAGATACAATTAAACTCCCGCTTACATATTTTCTTCGGTCTATAAAAATGATGACAAGTCGAGGTATTAAATTCCCTGAGTGATTACAGATTATATATAGAATTCTGATTATTTATCTGTGGGTACAAGCTGCTAAAAACAAAAGAATATGAGGGAAAATTATCCTAGTAAACGCTTAAATAAGTCGATCAGTTGTCACTACATGCATAAATATACACATACATGTCTCATAGTTGTACGCATCTGATTGAACGATAGAGATTTGTCAAGGTCTTTATTAGCTTGTTTTATTTCGGGCTGCTACAGTTTAGAGTCATCATTTGTCTCAAGATGTTTCAACTTCATGAGCATTTATTAGGATTCGATGCAATATCTCAAATAAACTGATTTATAAGGAAAAATTCTCTCTCGTCATGTTATTTAATTGCGACAACAGTGTCTTCAAGTCTGCAAAATGTGGAAATCCGAAAAATACTTACTTCCGGGGATTTCGAAATAAGCACTGTTTGTGACATGACCTTCATGTAACCTTCCAATAGCCAATATCGTTTAAACGAGGTAATATAAACCAATTTGATTTCTTTGTGCTGGCTTCATGATTGTGGGGTAAAGGTTCCCGGTCTTAGGAAAACTACTTAATAGCTCGTTCCACCACTGAACTATCGTAGCTCTGGTTCACTCCAAAAGGAGTGCTGCTGGAATTAATTATATGTAGTTTGTAGTATGTGGTAAGTTAAGACCGTGTCACTACTGCGAATGGAATTGGTCCTTTCACCCTATAGTCCTCCGATGTCTTGAACAAAAGAAAAGAGGTAACCATGACAGGTATAATTAGTGTAGGTTATGTAAACTTAAAGAAAGGAAACATAAAGATAGACAGTTAATGAAATTTGAAATTCATATGTATCTATATATATCTGGTGTGTGTATATGCATACATATATACGTATCAATAATAATAAGTATCAGGACGTAATGGTGAAAGTACTCAGGAGAGTATGACACGAGAGAATGTGAAGAGGTAAAACGATGAGTCTAGGCGTCTACCAATCGATAGTATGTAAGTTCTAGATAGATAGGCCATTTGGAAGCAGTCCTTGTGTCGCTGTATGATTGTTCGGCCTTCGCTTAAAGCTGTCCATGGACGGTGCTGTAGCTTCACCTGCCGGTAGGAAGTTCCAAGGATGGCAAACTCTCAGTGAAAAGTAATGGGAGCGCTCTCGAGTTTTCGCCCTCTGGTGAGTTATCTTTCGCGGATTCTCAATAAGTAGCCCACACCTTCCTAATGGCGGGGTATCTTACTGTAATTCAGTGTTCAGTGCCCAAGAAAGTTCCAATTTTCGGATAAGTAGAGAAGGCTTCGAATCTGTTTGAATCTATTTATATTCGGAATATTTGCTTATCCATAACAGCCTTGCATAAGTTGATTGACCGAGCAGACATTACTTTCTGTGAGACCCGTTTCAAAGCCAAAGTACGCTGAAATCAAATGACACCTTAGTACTGTGGTGGTAGAGTATAATTCCATTATGGATAAATTTTTTGACAGTCTCTCCATGTTATGCAGTAATATATACTGATGACGTCTCGAGCATTATTTATTGCGCATATATAAACTATTTATTCCTAGAACCAATCAACTATTAGTCTACTACAGTACCTAAACGCGCTTAAATACCCTTACTTCCCTAAAGACTATAAATAAACTAGTAGCATAAATGCATAAAAAGACTATTTCACTCTACCAACTATATAAATAAACTATTTATCCCTAGAACGAATCAACTATTAGTCTACTACAGTACCTAAACGCGCTTAAGTACCCTTACTTCCCTA